TGAAAAGAAAATATTTCAATGTTGAAACTTTTGGATATTATAATATATTTATAGCTGTGAATATTTATTTATATATACATATATAATCAGTTTTTAACGCTTTATTTGATAAAACTTATACTAGTTTACTAAATCTCGGTATAAGCCTACTCATACTATAATATTTGACATTTATTAGAAATCAATAAAATGTTCTCTATCCAGTGCTATCATGTTTTTTCAATGGATGCTTTGAAAGAAACCTTAACCAAATATTGAATGTATTAGGTCGACAATAAATCAATGTCGCGTTTTGAAACACTTTCATTAACCACTCCCAAAAAACATACATCACGTATGATAGTTAAACGAACTGACTAAACATCACGTTAGTGTAGCCTATATAATGTGTAAAGTTTAGTATACTCTAATCCCTTATAGTGATGGCAAACGACGAGACACACATTCGGCATGTAATGCTGTCTGAATACAAGAAGGGAAACAACGCCTATATAGCCTCAAAGAATATCAAAGAAGTTTATGGAAATGTTTTGAACGTTCGTAAGTGTCAACGATGGTTCAGTAAATTTCGTTCAGGTGGCTTTAGTCTTAAAAACTGTGATGACAGAAGCCTACATATTGGAATTAATATTGATGCTCTGAAGACGCTTGTTGAGTCTAATCCAAGGCAACACACTTGTGAAATGGCACTGAAATTGCATGTCTCTCGTGAAACAATGTGTAAACATCTAAGGAATAAGGGAAAACTCCATAAAGAAGGTGTTTGGGTTCTCCCTCACCTACAATATTCTCCAGATATGGCACCATCAGATTGCCATATTTTTCGTTTTCTGCAACACCGTCTAAATGGGAAAAGGTATGCAAATGTGAAAGGTGTTAAAGAGGACATCGACATGTTTTTTATTTCAAAGCCAAGTGAATACTGTAATCAGGGCATTAACAGCCTGATTGTAAGATGGAAAAGCATCATCGATAAGAATGGAGACTATTTGATTTAATAAATGTTTTGTTTTGATATATAAGTTGTTCGGTTTTTTTATCTAAAAAAAGCGACATTAATTTCTTGACGACCTAATATTTTTGAAGTAAGATATCAAAAGGATAAGGATACTTAGAGTCAAGGGCACAGATTGTCCATTATGTAGCTTTGAAAGAAAATTATTTGATTAACGAAACAAAAGTGTGTGTGTTATTAAACACAAAACTGTACAATGGGCTATCTGTGCTGTGCCCACTGCTGGTATCAAAACCTGATTTTTAGTGTTGTAAGCCCTCCGACTTGCCGTTGAGCTACCCTGAAGGAGCGGGGAGGTGTCACAAAGGTGCAAATAACAGCATGCTGGGTTGTCAGAAAACACAATAAGAAATGAAATCCAACAAACCTTAAATTAATAAAAAAAAATCTCTGCAAAGTAAATTCACAGTAAACACAAGGAAAAGGGTGAAATGAAGAACAAATGCATAGTACTTATTACATGTAGTATTTTTCATGTTGAATTCACAATAAACACAAGGAAAAGGGGGGAAATGAAGAACAAATACATAGTACTTATTATATGTAGTGTTTTTCATGTTGAATTCACAATAAACACAAGGAAAAGGAGGGAAATGAAAAACAAATACATAGTACTTATTACTTGTAGTATTTTTCATGTATGTACAAAGTTTATACATAAATTCTGATAATGTTTTCCAGTGCTGCAGCATCAAATTATTTTCACAACAATATAAGGTTTTCTCTTGTTAGCTATTGTTAATACGTTCTATAATGACAGTATCGAATCTAACTACCATTTCAGGCTCATTCTCTGTCTCTCTTTTATACAGTATTTTGTTTTGTTTAATCTTAAACAATCTTTTACAATGAGAAAATCCGAAGCATTTAGTACTTTATCGGTTAAAAAAAACTGTCTAGTCTTATCAGTCATGTTACAAAGCTGTTATTAACAACTAAACTAAATCAAGGTGTACTACTCGAGGCTTAGTTTTCATTCAGTAGATAGTCAGTGTGCGTGAAACGATCGAAGCGTCAAACCAAGAAAGAATTTTAAACTTTTGTTTTCATATTAAAATAACCAACAAATAATGTAAAGTGAGAAAATTTAAAGCACCAAAAGTTAGATTTTGTCCCTTTTTTTTTCCCTGTTCGTTCTACTTACTGGAGTGTATATCTATTTCTGACTTATTATGTTTAAGTCTAAAATAAGTAAGAACTTCAACGTTTAAAAAACAATAATTTATTGTATAAAGTTAAAATTCAACAAAATGTACAATTAAGACTCTTTTTGGGGTAAAAATTCAACCATCTTTATATGTTGAAGTTCTTACATATTTTATGAAATCTGTGCACAAGAAGAATGGTCATATATTTTTAAGTAGTTATGATTATTGTATTTTTTTTTATAAACTTTTCTTGTAAGTCGTAAGTGTCAACCCAGTTTCGGAAATTTGAAATTACACTTATTTATGCAACTTACAATGTTATGTTCTACTAGACCACCGTGACCCATTGGGTCAACCACTATTCAGAGTTTATGAAGAATTCAAGCTAATTTCAATATTGCACCAAAATGCAAGGTTTATTTTGAGATAATTTAATTAAATATTTCAATCCATTCGTGTTATTTATAATTCAAGAAAAGATATTTGATTGTTGATCGGGAGTAAAAGGAAAGACCATTTCATTTTTCAAAAAAGTGAAGCAAGAAGTTTCGTAAAGAGCGCGAACTGTAGTGTGAATGAATTTTTGACTGAGAAAATAAGCAAACAAACAATCTCAGATTTTTAGTAGTATATAGATAGATTCTTC